AGCAGTCTTTGTGCAGGCATATGCAGTGAAGGAGATCTGTCTGTTACAAAGAACTATTGTTATAAATTTAGCTATTTTTTTGTCTATAAATTTGAGTATAATGACCAACAATGCACTGAATTAAAAAGAATCCTTTTTTTTTTTTTAACTTTCTAAGATTTGGATATCTGTCCGTTATTTAACTTCATATAAAACCTTTATTTTAAATGGAAAACAACAGGAAGAATATGAGGGGAACATTAAAACAAGAAAAATCTACAAACCCCAGAACATTATTAGAAAGTGTAAGTTTTGCATAAACATCCAGAAACGCAAACATCTAAATCTAACATCTGTTCCACTCAAAGCAGAATGTGAAAAGAATGGTGAGGGACTGAGGGGACAATTGAAATCGTTAGGGAACTCTAATGTTAGCTGTTCTGCAGGTCTAAAGTGTATTTCCCCTAAATAATTCCAAATAGACTTGCTTAGAAAACAGACACAGATGTTGCATTATTTTTATTTCTTAAAATATAGTACACTTTATAGCATATAATGAATTTTTAAATACTTACTGATTTAGAATTCTGAGCAGCATTGAAATAGTCTTTAAAAGAGGATTAAAAAAAGAAAGAGTATCTACGGGCAGGCCTAGATTCTTCCTGCAGTGGGAATCCTGGGGAGAATCCCCTGCCCAAGAAAAAAATGCCAACAAAAAAGCTTCTGTCCCTACACTGTATGGTAGGAACACAGCACCATTACCAATGAGAAAATAGTCTCCTTCCCACTGACTTCAGGGGCAAGTATCTTTGGTGGGACCAGGACCAGATCCTGGACATCGTTTATTCTTAGACTGACCACCTAAACAAATAAATGAAAAGGACTTTATACCTGTGCATCTATTTGAACAGATACTAGAACTGAGAAACCTCAGAGTGAGACAGAAAGGAAACTAGAGGAGACTCCCAGCTGCAGACCATGGTGTCTCTGAAGAGGTGGTCTTGCTTTTCCTTCCTCCAGTATTGTTGTCAGCCCAACAACACTCATATGTGTATTTAGGTAACAGTAAATGCATATCAGTTGCCTCAACCTATATGTGTGTACATATTTTTTTCTTTTTCTTTTTTTTTTTTT